TATTAAACGTATGAATAAAGTGACTACAGGTGAAGATTTAGTCTTGTTTATTTTTTCACAATTTGACAGATTATCGCGCTAAAAATTCACAATTTCAGGGGTACGGGTTGCTTTGAAAAAAGTAAAAAAATCACTGTGTGTTCACCTGACAATAGGTATAAAGGTATCTCTCTAGGGGTAACCAATACTTAAATTCAGTGCACACAGCGACGCCAGACGTCCCCTCCCACTGCTACATTCATTCTCTTTAAATTATTAACAAAATGCAAGTAGTTTAGAAATATCTTCTCATCCAGGTAATGCTGTCTTGTTCTCGCCTTTGATGATGCATAGTTTTGACTCGGTCTTGGAATTTTTGTCTTCTTAGACATGTTTATCATTTTTAATAAGTTCATATATCGTCATAATTAAACATTTACATGTCAAACTTTATACGAGGGTTGTTCAAAAAGTAATAGGACTAAGAGTCTTATGTTTCCATATTCCATTAGAGTTTAAATATTTTCATATCCACGGCAATAATTAATTGTTTTCTACAACTTCAGCATAAGTTTATTGAATTATTGCACTAAACGCGTGTTCCCTGTGATATTAAATAACCATGGTAACACGCACCCGGCGCGGCGCATCAAAAATATTTTGACGCTTATTTGTACTTTCAGTTTATTCAAAATATGTTGTCTGTTCCCACTAAAATTTCACCAACACATTTTATCATATTAAAGTGTCATGTTGTCCAAATTTGACGTCATTCAGACAATAAATCGCTAAACTATAACGTTTTGAACAGCAGTGATAATAGCGTTAAATGTAGAAAAATGACGTTCGTTGAAAAACTTAAAATGTGTACGATCATTAACTTTTGCCAACAGAAAGGCCCTACTCCTTCAGCTACGTATGAAAAGATTAAATTTTCACAGAACAATAATTAGGCAATTAGGACACTCGTTTTCAGCTGGGAAAAGCAATTCAAAGACGGTGAATATGAGATCACAGACACGAAAGGGCTAGGGAGAAAGCGGAAAATTGACGGACGTTAGAGACGTTAATTGCAATAGCGCAGCAAAAGTATCGGCGATATACAGTCCGCGAACTGTCCGGCATGTTTGATGTTTGCATCGGGTCTACTGTTTCAGTTCTAAGAAAATTATTGAATTGGGGAATTTTGTTTTAAACATTATTTTATTTTATTAGATATATATATATATATATATATATATATATATATATATATATATATATATATATATATATATATGTGTGTGTGTGTGTGTGTTATCATTGTATAAATTTGATAATGATACGCGGTAATTATTGGTATCAATTTTTTTCGATTTTGTTTAATAAATGATAGCCTGTGCTCAGAAGAAGAGAATATTTTTCAGTTAATAAGCATTTTTAATTTACTGTACATAATCATATTGTTTTAAGAATGTAAGATGGCATGTGTAAATAAATAATATAAATCACTTTGTCATTTACATTATATGTCCATGCCCGTTTAGCTTCCACATTACTCAAAATCACGAGATAAAACAGAAAGTTGCCGGCCACCGGGCATGTTTCGAATAAAGAAATGAAAATGTGATTGCTTTTTTTCGCTACATCTCCACAGATGAGTTCTGGTTATAGTTACATGATTCAAGCACCTAGAACATTGTGGAGAATAATTTCAGAAAGAATGACGCTGTTTACATTTTGAATTTTTTTGCGACATCATGAACGTCATTTATTTATTTATTAGCGTGCGCCGGGTCGCGTGCCCCTTGTCATTTGTAAGTTGTACAAAATAATTGTTGTTTTTAAACATATTGTATTGATTTTTTCACTGTATATAGAGGACAAGTTCCGATATTCGATTTTTGTAAACTCGTGTACGTAGATGAAAAAATGTAAACAGTAGAGCTGCAGTCCTATTACTTTTTGAACAACCCTCGTATTATATTAAAAGAGGGATGTTTCGTACAATTGACACAAAAATAAAAAGAGTGAAATTTATTGCATCTATTGAAATGCAATATCTTCATTTTAGTGCCCGCCCAAAAGTCAAAAATTTTAAAAATTTTGATGTTTTCTACAGTTATATTTTTAAAAATTTTTTCATTGTTTAAATTTGGGGGTTTGTGGGTTTTTGTTTAACCCAAAACATAAATGTTGTCTTTTAAAACTGCTAGCAATAATTGTGAAACTGGTCCCCCCTTGCATATCTAAACTTTGAAATCCCACAGGAAATGAGATAAACTTGTCTGAATAGGCGCGTTTATTTACAATATTTCATGTAACTTCTAAACTGTGTAACTATTTCTAGTTCCTCTTAAAAGATCTGGTTGAAAATTGGCATTTCAAGACGTGTAGATATTTTACTGATCACGCAATTCTACTACGCCTTTAACAGTTAATAAACTTGTTGTATTAAATCCTATATTAATTTCCGGGTTGTTTTATTTGCTTTGTTTTGTTGTTTTGCACCTGAATCAAACTCAATCAACAAATGTATATCATCTATAGTATATATTAACATAACCCCTCAATGATAATCTGTGAAATTTTAATTATGGATCAATGTATATATTTCAGGAGAGAGTTTCTAGAAATGCTTGTAGCTTTCTACCCAATTCTTCTAGCATTTGATTGTAATTATATTACGTATAATTATGTGTTTGATTGAAATGAAATATTGTTTAAACTATATACATGCGTACATTTAGGTATTCTAGGAAAATTTACAAAAGATAAATTCCATTTAGATAAAACTATTCTTGATACACATATATTATATAACAACTTTTAGCAGAATAGATTGTGCATTTTTATTGAAAACTATATTGATGTTAATCTATTGTCATTTATGTATTTATAAAGAAATAAATCAGATAGGTTTTGCAATAATAGCTTCTATATGTGCGATTATAAAATGTAAACATGCAACGTTTAAACAATGTTTTTTTTTTCTATTTGCAACAAAACGTCTCAGTATTTTGTTATCTACTAGTTTATCTGTTGAAACTATTTTGTTATCAGTGTTGGATTTCGTCAGAGTACACATGTTGTACCTATTTTATCTTGTTATCATGATTATATATTGATTACTGGTATACTAAGGTGTGCAGTATCAGTAAGAAGACAATAATGTATCAATGAATGTTGGTCATTAGTTTCGTTTACTATTGTCATCATACAAAATGAGGTTTTAAATAAGTATAGATATCTTAATTCTAGGTTAATGATTTTTAAATTTGACATTTCAAGCTTCTGGATTTGTATTTAATTCACGTGAAATTAACAGACCATTAACAATTGAAAGAATGCAATTTATGTCTCGAAAAACACATATCTAAACGCTCTATATAGTATGTAACTATACCTTAATCGGTTGGGATAATGGATAATATATTTTATACGAGTGTTATTTGAATGTTGTTGATTAATTCTGTTAAAATTATAAATAGCGCAAGGAATTGATTACAGTAAGGAACTGTTTTATCTAAAGCATTAAGGGTTTAAACACCATAATATTTAAAGTGATTTTGTTCGAGTCATCAACTGCACCAATTGCCTGAAATTGTACTGTATCGGTGTATTACTACTAAGTTTATCGAGATGAATGTATTTACGTTTGTAAGAACATAAGAACATTCCTTGGACGTCATTGCGTTCAGTACAGCAAGAATGATAGTATACTCGATAAATAATCATAAAATAAAGACTACACTATCTGCATTTATTATGGAATGAATTAACTAAATTTGTTACTCGGATAGCATTTTGTGCACTTGACATTAACTTGAAAATAACTATAAAGTGATGTTCAAATGGATTATTTTAAATTTTATGTCAAACATGCAGCTTGATAATTTCGTCAGAATGTTTTTTAACCTCTTGGAATTGAATATTGTTGTATCCATGGACCTAAATGTAACATACTACATAGTGAACTTTGATGGTAAGTTTTTTGTACCATTATTTTCATTGTAGATAATACAGTAATTAAGAATAACACGTTTCATAAGTATATTTATCCATCACATTGATGCATTAAACATGCGTTATTATATGTGAACTATTCCTGGAATTGATATTCCGCATACGTTTATTGTAAATTAGACCTTGATTTACGACAATTACGTGCTTAGCTGCAACAATTGTGTTAAAGCCATTATAAAGGAATTTTTCTAGATTAATCTTCAGATGTAACTTTAAATGTAATAGAAATGATTTAGACTTTATTTCACTAAATCGTTCAGTAGAAATATATCTGAATTATTGTAGTTTTTACTACAAGTAATTCATATATTTCCTGAAACGTTACATTTAGCATTAGAAATATGGTAAAAACTAACAAAAGACAGTCTTAATGCTTAATTTAATCAAAAAGCAAGAAAATGATGTTGAACATAATATCAAAATATATTGAACTATCCTCGCAATTATATAGATTAGGAAATGCACGACTACATAAATAAAAGTAATGCATTTGAGAATTTTTTTCATATTACATAAACATTTTGCAAGTCTTGAAAATAGATAAAAACAAATCATTGCAACAAAAGTGCTGGGTCTAAAATGCTTTCAATAAATGTTTGGATACTTAGGTTGTTTAAACTCTTCTATCAATGAAATATATTATTATGTACCGGGATATCTATGAAAAAATGTATATAAAAAATACCCCCCTCCCTAAAAAAATCTAAGATTTAACTATCTAAAGAGATAAGAGGGTACTCTGGAACATTCGACAGTCTTTAAAACGTACAAAGGTTACATTATCCTAATCTTTATTTACACTGTCTTTAATTTTCATGCTAAGCCAGAGTGATATAATCCGCGGCACGATCAAAGAGCTGATATAAAGCGCGGCATTTTTCTTGAAAATAAAATATATCGGAGAAATACTTTCCTGTAATGTTAACAGGAAGGATTATTAGATATTCTGCTTCCAGAGTATTTTAATGTTTCTAAGCGTGAGCAGGTACATGAATATAAACTATTGGTAGAGGTATGAAAGAGTTGAATACTGGAGAATAGGTTTATGTAAATTTGTGGAAATATTTCAAGGTAACACATTTAAATGCAATTTTCCGTTTTGTATTCTTTTCTTTAATAATTATAAAATTTATCAATAAATACAAATAAGTAACAATATAACGTTTGAATAGTAAGAATGCATTTTACTTTATTAAATAGGATTTAATGGAAAGAAATTTCGTTTCATAGGTACAAATTACTATAATTGTAATAATAATAACAACAATAATATTATACAATTACTCATATTGTAAGTTATTTAAAAATTAGATAATATAATACATTCGTATTTAAGGGATTGTGATAAGATAAACATCGACTTGCTCAGATAATTTAGATAATAACGTACTTTGTTTGTATTACCAAAAATTTGTATTAGAAAAGAGTTGGAGTACTGGGAATGAGATGATTCTATTTTATCCATTTCGGATATTTCAGCTCAGTAATGAATTAGAGCGGTATATTTTTAATTTTATACATAAGTTTGTTGTTTATATAGACTCCATTTTTTTGAAAGAGGATGTATTAAAACATGGTTATATCTAACTATGATATTTGTTAACTAGAAAATAAAAACAATTTTCAACATAAAACGTTATGAAAACCACAAAAAAATCCAAAATTTGAACTTACAAGCATTAATAATTTTCAGGAAGTCTATCTTGATAATTGTTATTCATATATTAGAATGCAAATTCAAAACACTTAATATTTGTTACTTTTATATTAAAACATACAGATCTATTTCAAGTAAGTGGGTGTCTACATATAATTAAATGCATCTATTGATACAATTCAACTTTGATGAAATTTCATAAAATGTTCAAAATACATTTACAAACCTAGTAAGTAAATTGGCATATGACGTGATAAAGCAGATTATTTAGAATATACCAAGATGATAGCATGCAGAGTTATTATTGCCTCTTAGACGTTGATAAATACGTAAACCTACCTACACAAATTATTTTTGCAACAGGTCTACGCTTACATAATACCTGCAAAGCACTACATTTTTTATCATGTTCTGTTATTTTTAATATACAGTTGCCAGGTTTGCAAAAGTATAGAAAAAGAATATTTTGATGCACCTTGATCAAAAAATGAAAAGCGTGCTTTTCACTCAAATCGAACTAAGAATTACACACAAAAATGATATTTAATTTATTTCAGCAACAGTTTATTTATTACTTTTTCCTCATTTTTCCATTAAGAATGTTTAACTTGATCTATGTAGGAGTTAAAAATCTTATGGTCCTCAGTGGAGTCAAGTAAAGTCATGACATATTTATTGTAAGTTTTCGACAAAAACAAGCTTATCAAAACATGAAAAACAACAGAATGAGCAAATCGTTTAAGAACGAAAAGCAATTAAGCATATGCTACATTTTAAACTTTCACTCTTAACATTATCTCTAACTTTCACTAGAATTACGGTTTACTTTGAACACTCATGTAAACGGTAATTAAAAAGGTATGGCGTATATAATTTTGGTAATGAAAATTTAGCAAACATCATGAAGTTTGTATAAGATTCAGGTGATAATAAACAGACGTAGTTTACTTACGATCTTTACATCTGCTATTGATGCTATATATAAAAATAAAATGCTATCAGGTTCGTGCAGAAACAAAACAAAATTGTTCGTAGTTTGTACTAACTGGAAAACAAAAGTTTGAGTCATCATAGTAATGAACCACCGTATGAACACATCTGCGGATGTTTCTTAATTAAAAAATACATTACCTTACTGGGTGTTGAATTCTGCTTTAGTCGGTGCTGAGGGGTTGCTTGAACGGCGGCTGAAACATTCCATTACTGTCCATAAATGTGGCAACATTTTTATTTAACCGTTTTTTCTCTTTTTATCAATTCCAGGCAAAGACGACAAATGGTTTTCCTTAATGTACACCTGTGCCTTACAACAATATGAGAAACTGCATTTGTTACAGAAGGAAAAAAACTGTAATGAACCATTTAATTTTAGAAGTTTTCTTCTTCCTTTGAAAAGAAAATTCTCAAAGTTCATTTTATAAATAATTACAATTGTTTGTTAAAGTAAAATAACGTTTATAGAGTAACAATATTGACAGCTGACCTGAAAGAATGGAGACGAAAAACAATTCAACTATAGAGAAACTAAAGTATTTGCCGCTAACTGTTATCTTCGTACTTATTACGTTCATTGGAATAGTGGGGAATATTCTTGTCCTTATAATTTATAAAAGGAAATTTACAAGATCAAGTGCAAGATGTTACATTCTTAGTCTAGCTATTGCAGATCTAAGTGTGAGCGTGGTTGGAATACCATACCATGTTTTGGACTTGACACTTATTTTAACATACACTCATACAAACGTGTGTAGAATATTAAGTTTCTTAATTGGAGCTTGTACGCTTAGTTCGGTATTTATTCTTCTTGTGGTTGGACTTGATAGATATTTTAAGGTTTGCAGACCTTTGAAAAGACAAATTAAAGATTTTGGCGACAGAAAAGCATGTTTACTGGCTAGTTTCGTTGCCATAGTGATATCCGTTCCTCATGGTATTATATACGGACAAAGTACCGTACAGACGCAAGTTGACAATCTTACCGGCGTGGAATGTTTTATATCTGACGGATATCAAGGCTCGGAGTTAGCTGTTGGCTATCTAGGTTTCAACATGTTAGTTTTTGTGATGTCGGTGATATTTCTAATCATAATATATGGATTTATTTGCCGAAAGATTTACCATCATGATCGAATGTCGGGGGAGATAACCTTAGAAAAGACAAAAACATTTTGTTTTTGTTGTGCTGTACGAAATCAAGAAGATGAAATGCCTGGTAAGAAATCTGCAAGCGTTCTGGACAAAGGTAATTCTGATGACATTGATGACACAGATACAGATCTTCAAAGTGTTGAACCGGAAACTGAAAATGCAGATGAAGAACTTACAAAGTTAAATGAGGAAAAGGGTAAAAGTAATATAAAAGGATCTGCACGAAATAGTTGTGCAATGGTACGTCACGTAAGACCGGGATCTAAAGCGGTAGAGAAGAATACTATGAAGATAACTTTAATGATGTTGACTATCACAGTAGTATTCATTATTTCCTATCTCCCTTTTATTGTAATTTCAATCTTAGATTCAACAGATGAAGACTTCTGGGCAGATCGTGGTATTATAGAATCTGTATTTCTTGATTTCATGCTAAGATTATATCTTGTTAATAACGTAGCCAATCCAATCATATACAGCTTTTGGGACCATAGATTTCGTAAAGAAACTAAGCTGCTACTTAAAAAACTAACGTGTTGTATTAAACGAGATGGCCGGAGAAATGCAGATAATGAGACCAATCACAGTGTATTAGCAACGTCAGTAGGATTTTCGAAGTGTACTGAAGCAGTTACTATGAAATAGTGAAAATGTTTTATATCCAGTCAGAATAATATACTTGTAATTGTCGTTTTTTGTAGTTTTGGCGGTTAGTTTGTGTCACTTTATAATGTTTTTAGAATATAACCTGTTCACTTGGCTATTAACAGTAATATCTGAAGACCACTATTTTTTACAGCTTTTTGTATTGACATATTGAATAAATCACCTGTACCTTATTAATGCATTATGTATTTATCACGTTAGTGAGTATAACTTTTTATACACTTTATATACATAAAGAATAAAAACAACAAAAAAAAAACGACCACGCCACGCAGAAATCTCCCGGATTTATTGCTTTTGGGCCTTATATTACGAACTTGTACAAAATCGAATCTGAAACAGAATTATTTAAATGGTGTTTAAACTTTTGGCCCGAGAATATGGTGCTTTTTCCCTAAATGTGTACACTTCCTATACAGAAAGAAAAAACTCTGGTAAAAATCGACCATGCTATGTTTAAATGTTACTGAGTAAGTGTTTGTGTCTTAAATTACGTAAGGAAATTGGAAATGTGTATAATATCGAATCTGCAAGGCAATCATTCAAAATGTATTTAAACGGTTAGCCCGAGAATACGGTGTATTTTACTAAAATTAAGACACTTTTTTATAGAAAGAACAAATTGCCGGTCCTAAAAACAACTATGCCACGCGGAAATCTCCCGGATTTATTGCATGGATTTTAGCTTTGGGGCTTATATTACATAAGGAAGATTCTCCAAACTTGTACAGAATTGAATCTGCAACTAAATTATATAAATGGTGTTTAACTTGTTGGCCCGATAATATTTTTTTTCTCTAAAATTAATACACTTTATAATCAGAAAGAACAAATCGCCAGTTCAAAGAACGACCATGCCACGCGTAAATCTCCCGGATTTATTGCTTGGGTAGGGCTTTGGGTCTTTAATTTACGTAAGGCAGACAGACCTGCAAATTTGTATAATATCGAATCTGCAAGGGCATCATTCAACAAGTGTTTAAACGGTTGGTCCGAGAAAAGTGTGTGTATTTTCCTAAATACTATACACTTTACATACAAAAAGAACATTTCACCTTTCCTGAAAAACAACCATGCCACCCGATTCTCTCCCGGATTTCTTGCTTGGTTTAGGGCTTTGGTCCTACGACGTAAGAAATACCCTCCAAACTTGTACAAAGTCGAATCTGCAACGGAAATACTTAAATGGTGTTCAAAATATTTACCCGAGAATATGGTGTATTTTTCTGAATCGTATACACCTTATCTACAGCTGGTCTTAAAACAACTATACCATGCGGAAATTTCCTGGATTTATTGCTTGGGTTAGGGCTTTGGGCCTTATAATTATTGTGTAAGAAAGACCAAACAAATTAGTACAAAATCGAATCTAGGTTTTTTTATTACCTCCCTTTATTTACATGAAATGTTAAATTCGGTAATAGCTTTATAAATACTACTTTTTGGAACTTACAAAATTGATAAATCTTAATTTGAGCATCATATTTATGATATAAAACCATAAAATAATTGTGTTCCAGGATCTTTAACACATTATTTGTTAAAACATTAAGATAGTTTTCATAACAAAAAGAAGTTTTAAATTTTCTGTAATAATCAAGATTAGGCATATTATGTATAGAAGTATTCCAGTTCTGTATATATTGGTCACGTAGATGCTGCTTTAACATTGGCATATAGTTAAAATTTAGGTTAAAGTTACGCCATATATCACACTAATGTATGCCTGACATCAGCATCAATAAACTTTTGCTCTGATTAGATAACGTTTCTTACTTTTTACCAACTTTTTGTATAAACATGTTGCTTACGTAACTGGAAGATAAAATCATTATATTTTAACATTTAATCAGATAGCATTTATACAAAAACACCTGCAATTCTTACACGTTATCTTTATCCTAAGAATCTGAATCTTTGTACTGAAATGTTTGATTAATGATTAAGATAATTCTGAGATTAGAAAATGTTAAGAGGATAACGTTTTCATTTACGTGTACTGTTGCTTCCGTCGGCAATAAGTAACGTTGGACCTATTCATTGCCTTCTCTCAGTTCCATTAACGTTGTACATGAACTTGTACCCGAAGAATATCTGTTCCCTATGTGACTACATCGTGATTGAATACAGAAATCAGATACCTTACACTAAATGTAAAATAAAAATTTACGTAGGATTTCAAAAGAGTGTAACTTTTACAATAAATTTACAATTTAGATCTGTTTTACTTTTCAACAAATTCAATTCTCTGTAAAAGAATCTATGTAATGTAAAATAACAGATGATAAATATCCTGGAAAAGTTGTTAAAGTTAAGCCAAATTACATACTTTACCTATCGTAATTATACAAGACTATGCGTACAAAAAAATGCTGCACTTTCACATTCCGCTTCATGTCTACATACTTGACAACTGTAATGCCAATGTAAGTAAATCATAACGAGAAAGAGATTACTCCGTAAAACGTATCAGCGTTGTTGAAAGTATGCTTGTATAAAGCATAAGGTAAGTTATCTACGAACAAATGCTAAATATTTTACATTCTACTGCATAAACCAGTACATCACTATTTTAAAACATGATCATATATTGTCTCGGAAGGAAACATTTTTTGTATGATTTATGTTTTCTTTTACCAATTTAACCTATTGTTTTTACTTTGCGTATTTTAAAAAGTAGACCTCTATGCTTTTAACATTCATTTTAGCACAATTCTCCTACGTTATCTAATGTAGGCAGTTACTTACGCACTAGCTGTCCTATTTATCGACACTGTTTGATTTCTGATTTTACTAATTAAAGTTTTTAATTTACCGTGTGTCCTGTCATGTTTGAGCACCTTGTCGTTAGTCCTGTGTTGGGGGTTGTGTTCATTGAATGCCGCCCTTCCTTGATGATCCTTTCTATCTTTCAAATTATAACATTTAAACATATTCTTGACAGTAACTTTTCCTGCATTCCATAGATAAACTTACAGATTACAGCTAGTGGATGATATTCCTAGAGTAAACTGTTTACTTTAAATTAGTTCATTTTTAATTATTTTATAAACAATTAGGGATAAAAGTTACCTAACGATAATCCTAGAATAAACTTTAAACTGAGAAACTTTGGTTCTTGTTTAGTATTTTGTTTAATTGTCATTATCTAACTTTTCAGTCACGTTCTCAAAGTAGAAAAGCTTGCCCGAAAAATAAAAAAAGACTTAACTCAAAAGAGTTCAAATTAAAATGTTTGTCATAATATAACTCTCACACACTTATTACTCCACAAGTGTCGCAATTAAATTTCATTCTTATACGTCTTGAGAAAAGCACAAAGTACTGTCTCGTAGTCTGACAAAACCATAAACTATTCTTAAAAAGAGAGAACAAATCGTATACATTATACTTTACCTATGCTATTATCTATTTTAACTACAGCAATTTAATTGAATTCAAAGGCGAAACATTTTTTCCTAATCCGTTAGAAAGGGCAAACATACAAAATACTTAATTACTATATTTTTACTAATTGCCAAAATGCAACAGAATCAAAAGTTGCTTATGTAATCAGCCGATGAGTATTTGTTCTAATTAATATTGTTCACTGTAAATTTAAAAGTCGTACACTGATTAAGTGCAAAGGATAGTCTTTCAAACGAATATTTTATAGAAGCAAGCGGTATTTTATCTGGACATATAACAGAGCTATCTAACACTATTTTAGAATCTGACAATTTCTCGGAAATCTGAACAAGAGGTCTACTATAATGCTAGGAGTTGTGGACGGTAGCTGGCAAATACCACTTCAGTACCATTCACGAAAAGGCTCAATTAAACGGAGCCTGCAATAATTTCAGTTCTTGCCATGACTATCAAAAGAAAAAAGTTAAAGTTATTCAAATAATTTGTTTTTTATTTTAATAAAATATAAGTAGCTGTCAAGGCCAAAATTGGCCTTTAGGCTTGTCCAAATTTAATGTAAGATCAAATAATAAAGTAATACTTACAATAATTACGAAAACGTCATACAAAATGTCTTTATATCTCACCATTTGTGCAGCCAGATCATTGGCACCCAGACCATCACTTGAGGTTCGTCCCCATCCTGTCGTTCAACAATTAATGACCTTTCTACTCCATTGTGACAGCTTTTCTACTATATTTTTGTATGATTGTATAATTATATATAGCAGAATAGTTGCAATTGTGCTCCTATTTTTAGATAATGGATTGAAGCTGCGAGAATGATTGATATCATGACTAATCAACAAAAAATCATAGCCCCTCTTCATAACTAATTACATCTAGAATGTATTAGCGGAATGATATTATACATTCTGTAAATTACTTTTGGAAAAGTTGTATTATGTGTCGGATTAGTATTGATTTAGTGGCCCTTTGAGAGACATCTGGTATGACGCTTTTTTATGAAAATCGGCTTGATGCCATTAAAATTATCAAGCTATATAAAGCCTCGACAACCTACAAATGGATATGAACGCAATATTTTAATTACGAAACTACAGGCCGGTCATGTTATATCTTCCCTATAATTACATATTTATCTTAACAATGTTACATATCACAACTAAATTAACTGTTAATCATGCAGAAGAAGCTATAGTGATTTTGCTTTGATAACTTAGAAAGATGACAGTTTAAAACGTGCTTGTTTTTTACTGTCAAGGTCAGCTAAATAAGCTGCATTTTGTTTCAATTATTTCAAGTATGACTACAGTAAAGGTAACAATAATTGATACTTGCAAAAATCAGAATAAAATATAAAAACTGCCTTAAATATTAATGACTGTCCTAATCTCACTTTCAACGAATAAATTCCGAAGTATATTCACCGAAATTCCGTATGTGAGTTATTGTTTATTCATGCGAAATTGTATGTAGGGAAACTATTTTGAAATGGTTAAAATAATAAAAACTCACCCTTTTTGGTTGTCACGGACAGCTATGTTCATTCATATTGAGATTAACGTGTTATTATAGTGATATATTTGAGATATTAATGTTGAGATGTTGTTTGTTTTGTTTTGTTTACGGCGCACCAACATCATTGAGATCATGTGTCGCCAAAACAGGAATTATGATTTTGGTTACCGCCGGTGTTACAAGCTTAAAGCCACCCCAGGGGTCAACCCACCTCACCCGCTGGAGCTAAAGGATGAATGACTCCATTGATTCGAATCCATTAAGC